CTGCTGAAGTCCGGCCAATCCCCAAGGACCCGGGGGCCACGGTGCAGAGCAGGTGGAGGGGTGAGATGTGGGGTGGTATCCTCAGACAGGTACAGGAATGCCCAGCGAGCAGTCTCCCACTGCACACAGTCGCATGCTGCCTGTCCTGTTCTCCCAGTAATTCTGCAGGTTTGTTAGAGAAGCAGGTGCTGGGACCCTGCCACCCCTGACATGCATGAAATATAGGTGTTGTGTTCACATTGTGAGAAAACCTGGATACAGGCGACACACTCACTCCCACTGCTCCCAGTCTTTTAAATGCACGAGTGCAGAGGGGAAACATGAAACTAAAAGAAGAGGTCAGCTCTGTTTGAAACGTTTTCAGCACCATTTCCTTTTTCTATTTGCTACTTTAAGCGATGCAAAAAAAAAAAAAAAACACATTCATGCCACCACAATGCTGCGCTGACACGAGGTTGGACGTGTGAGAGGCTGTCTCTGAGCTTTTATGTGAAAATAAAATTATTTTCACATGAGGACTTTCATGTAACCAGACTCAGTAAAATCCTCGATGTTACTGATTTTATCATTCAGCTCTTTATCAGTGCTGCATTTCTTTTTACTGAATGATATCAAACATCCAACAAATTCAGTGTCTTTCATATAAGGGCACCCACTTAACTTTTTTTTTGTAAAAATGGTTCCTGGGACTGTTTACATCATTTTCTGATACTTCTTATGGACATTTCAGTTCTAAAGAAAACTAGAACAAGCTGTGAAAATTGTACATGGCAGAAGATTAAAATAAATGTATTAGATTGAAAATAGAAGAGACATGTTCAGAATATGTGATTGTGCCTTTTGAACCTCGTGCTGATAACAAGCTGGGGGGGTCCCTCTGCTTTATGGCTACAATTATTTCTGCTTCACCTCCGTTCAAGTTAAATGATCATAGGAGTTTAGGAGTTTATACATTTCTGCAACTCAAGTTTTAGTTTAGTCTTTTACACACATTTCCCTGAATTCCTAAAACTTTACTTTTGATTTTTCAGATCCTATTGATAAAAGTCAACAAATTTCCTATTTTTGACAATTTGATACTTTTAAACTGTTGAAGTGTAATGATAGTAAAAACTGCCCATCTTTTTAATTTTTTTTAATTTACTTTTGTGATGTCTTTTATTGAGCTTCAGGCATCAGGTGAACAATTACTCTAATAAACCCAAATTATATATATATATATATATATATATATATATATATATATATATTTTTTTTTTTTTTTTTTTTTTATATATATATATCACAAGATGGTCCATTAAAGTAAATTCTTCAAGTGCACATGTACAGTTTTAAAGTTAAACTACTGTATGTCTGCATTAAAACTTAAAAAAGGTAATTATTATTTTGCCTCATGGTTTGGCGCTGCTGTCTTCTTAGATCTAAACAAAGTCTTAATTTATTTTGATTCATTCATTTTTTAACCTAACTTCCTAAGAGAGAGTAATGCCATCTCAGTGGCTTTAGATGTTTGCCAGTGCTTCACTTGTTTAAGGGCTGGCATGAAACAACTGTTCCCTCAGGCAGGAACAAACCATTTTACATCTTTTCAAATTTTACTCAATTCCCTGGAACAACTTTGTGGAAACTTATCAAACCAGACTTCTGTCCCTGAACCTTGAAGATGGTGCAAAGCGGCAACAGAATATCTAATCAGATGTGCATAAGCAGCTTCATTATTAATGAATGTGATCATTCTTTGTTTTAGAATCTGTTGAATTCTACTTTGCTAATTCATATCCTAATCATGAAGTCATGAATGAAGTTGAAATGTGAACATCTTCCTTGTCTGCTTGATCTCTTTCTCTCTTTACACACACACTGACACACACGTCTACAGTGTCTTGATGCTTGTCCACATTTTTCTGTTAGATGACGAGATGGCTCTTGAACACGCACCTTGTCCTCCAAGTTTTTGACATCCCATCACCACACTTTTTGTGAACTCAACAACAGCAGTCAGAGTACAAAAAGGAAGTAAAAGTTCATTACATACCTGACCTGTCTGCTCATTTCCTGTTGAGTTTCACGTTGAAAGTAAACCAACAGGTGATTTGTAACTCTGAGTGTGTGTGTTTCTGTGCCTCTGTGTGCGTGTGACAGTGCACGTTTCTTTGATCGTGAGCTGTGCTTGAGTCTGCCTTTGACAGCTAATGCCTTATTGAAAGACAGAGAGACAGGAAGTGGGTTGTGTGTGGTGGAGTCGGTTCACAGGAGGGCCTCTCTGGCAGCCGCTGCTCCTCTTTCAAATCCCTTTAACATGATCAGAGCTGTGCTCCTCCTCACCCCCTCCCGTCTCACCCGTTTTTACCTGCTTCTCAGAAACTGCTGCACAAACTCCACCACCGATCAGACAAGGCCTATTCCACAGATATTACTCCTCCCCTTAAGTAAACAGAGATCCTCTTGTTTTTCTCCTCTCTGCCGTATCTCCCTCCTCATGCCAGCGTGTGCTGCAGTCATGGGTTTATCTTCGGATGAAAGGTGCTCCCTGTTCTGCAGGCAATGATCTGTATGAAGACACAACGTACGCTCCATCTGTCATGACTCCTTTTCTAGATTCACTTGCTGATTTGTGTAAAAGTGAAGCTGCTATGCATATTTTAAAATGTGTGTGAATTTACATTATTGAAGGTTTAAAACAGTCACTTGTCCTCTTTAGGAGCACAGTTACTGACTGTTTTTAAAATAAAATATCATGCCCAAATCTAGGGGTGACAGATGCTAACATGAAAAAAACTTTGAGAATCAAAACTTAACTCTTCCAGCTTTGATTGATACATTTTTAGAGCTGAATTTTGTCTCAGATCTGCTGCTTCCTCCGAGGCGCTCCACTGCAGTATTATACTGCCCCCTGCTGGTGAACTACAGTTCTGCTCTCCTGTTCTTTATTATCTACACAGCTAATTTTAAGGTTGTGCTCTTTTTTTTTTTTGCACAAAGTATAATTTTTTATAATACAAAACAAACAAACTTATCAAATTTGGCAACATGTACAATACAGTTTTAGTGTACTATTTTCTTGAACCTTCTTCTATACCACACATAATTTCAATCCACATTTCAATCCATAATGTAATGCTGCAGTGGTTATTGGTTGGTGTTGATCCAAAGGTGCAGGCAAGCATGTTGTGAATTCAATATTTAATAAATAATAACAACAACAAGTACAACACAATATCCCAAAGCTGAGACAAGACAGGACGCCTCTGACAACAGCTGAGCGACAAGACACTTCTCTCTGCTGTGGCACATGATTACTGAGTCAGGACAGATATTCTGATTATAAATGAAACACAGGTGCTGTAAGTAACCAGAAGAACTTATAGAAACAACCAGGATGCAATGTGATAAAACTACCAACATGGCTGAAACGTTCAGTGCTGCAGTCTCCTAATCTAAAAACTAAGGGCTTGGTACCATGGATGAATCAGGAAGGTCATTTGGTGTAAAACAATTGCCAAATCTTTCAAACAAGTTTGTTTGCTTTGGCAACCCTGGCAAAAAAGAGCAGCCGAAAGAACAACAATATGATTGAAACACACACACACAAATACAAAAATCAAAACAAATACAAATAAACCCACAAAACGTGACACAAAATGTTGTGAAAATACATTAAAACTGCTGAAAACCTTACCAGCTGATGTCATTGTTGTTACTTCACAGTTATCTTATAACATTAGCATATGTGCACTTCTTTGTTTTGTTAAATGTGGTGCTCGTTAAGTGAACTGCAGACCAAACACCCAACAAAGTTCAGTCAGGTTGTCTGGATGCTTTATTTTGTTGAGACGATTCGTCCTTCATCCAAAGGACTTCATCAGTCCGAGGAGCCACAACAAACTGAGTCCCATAAGCAGCACACTCACATAGTGGCCAACCAGTTTGCTGCTGATAAGATGGTTTCTGGGGCCCACCTTCTCCCCTGTCGACTCCTCTGAGGCAGCCATATCCAAAGTGGTTCAAAGTGGGAGAGGGCGGGTCCCAGAAACCATCTTATCACCATCAAACTGGTTGGCCCATTATGGGAGTGTGTTGCTTGTTGGATTCAGTTTGTTGTGACTCCTTGGACTGATGAAGTCCTTTGGATGAAGGACGAAACGTCTCAACAACAACAAAAAAAGAAACCGTCCAGATGACCTGACTGAACTTTGTTGAATTTTCTACCTGGATTGTTGAGCATGAACTTTGATGCAGACCAGTTTAGACAGTGCTCATAGTCCGTAGACAGATACTTAAGTTACCACGACGTTACCACTGATAACAGCAAGACACCCTGGACAGGTCTCCAATCCATCACAGGGCCACATAGAGACAAACGAGACAAACGACCATTCACTCTCTCACTCACACCTAGAGACAATTTAGAGTTACCAGTCATCCCAACATGCATGTTTTTGGTCTGTGAGAGGAAACTGGAGTACGCGGAGAAAATCCACACATGCCCTGAGAGAACATGCAAACTCCACCAAGAAATGTCAGGATTTGAACCAGCGACCAACTCTGGTCTTTTGGAGCCAAAACGTTGCATCTGGGTGTGATGCTGGAGTGTGATATGAAATTGTTATCTGTCTTATTTCAAAAAGACTCCTACATCCAGATTGATTGAATCTTTAGAAAAGAAGGCTGAGAAAAAAGTTTTATTGCTCAAAGTTTGTTCTTTTCCAATCTGTGAGATTGACAGTGATTCTTATTTCAGCCTCATCTGTCTGTTTTGTCAGATTGTTTTTTTAAATCAGGTAATACAACAGAGACTGATCAAGCTACGATTTAAAAGACTGAATTTGGCTTTAGTTTAGAAAACTGAGTCAGTTTTTTTTTGTCAGTTAGAAGGTTGTTAGATCAGTTTCCACCTTCCTCCTTTATCATGTAGACACCTGGTCAAGTCTCTTTCCTTCCACAGGATGGACCATCATCAGCACATTTGACTTCATTAACAGCGTTTTTCCTCCTTGCAGCTCCATGTCCCCGTTCAGTATTGACAGCATACGACGCCCCCGGAGGTCAGAGTCGCCCGAGTCGAAAAAAAGAAGAATCCACAGATGTGACTTTGAGGGCTGTAATAAAGTGTACACCAAAAGCTCACATTTAAAAGCACACCGGAGGACGCACACAGGTCAGTGACTCTCTAAATGGATGTTTATGCTGCCATTTTACTGTGGGAAGTTTATTGAATTTTAAGATAGCTGACATTTCATATACTGTCAGAAAGTCATAGTGTTGCTTGTGTGACCCGGCGCTCTGGGATTGCAAATATGTAACTTAAATATAAATGTACAGAGGCCACACTAAAACAATTACAGAGCCTGTAGCACTTTAAAAGGCAGGTCAGTTATATTCTGCTTAGTGAGACTGGTAGAACGTGAAGACTCGTGCCTTGGTTACAATTCCATCATGCCACCAGCATCACTAACATGGCCATCAGTTCATACAGTTCAAGAACTGTGACGGGGCTGGGTCCAGACCGTGCTGGAGCATAAAGTAACATCAGTGATGTGCCGTGAGTTTTGTGACAGGTGAGGCTGACTCGTCTGGAATCAGATGCTCACCTATATGAAGCCAAAATAGAAGCTTATATTTCAATTTAGCCTTTTTTTTTTTTTAAGAAGGCATCCATCCATCCATCCATCCATCCATCCATCCATTATCTTTTACCCGCTTCTTCCATTTTGGGTCACAGGGGTCGCCGGTGCCCATGTCCAGCAATCACTGTGCGAGGAGAAGACATCTAATTATGCTTTAATCAACTCCATACTCCACTTTTAAATAATAATAATTAAAAAAACATGTATTGTCTTACCTTTATTTTAAGATGAATAAGTAAAAAAAAAAAGATGATGAGTTTAGAAAAATATTTTAGTTTTGAGATATGATCTTCCATTTTTTATAAAGAAATTCAAACGAGTGTACCCCTGCTCCTCTGCGTAACAGAAGAACACACAACAACGTTTCGTTGTAACTATGGGGCAGCACTGCCCTCTATCTGTGCGGCACGGTACTTTCTTCCTCACCCTGAGCATTTATGACTGATTAGAAAGAAGAAATATGTCACACACACATTCATTCAATATATTAGACAGACTGTAGAATATCAGCATGTGTAGCACACATGTAATCAAACATGTATATTGGCGATATAAAGAGACAGCAATGAGCATGCGCCAACGGCCTACTTCATAATTTGTATATGACACAGCGCCCCCAGAGGTGAACCAGAGCACTACACTGCCTCACCCCACATTGTTTGAACAGGTAATGAGTAAATTCTGCGGTTTTGACCATTGAAGTGTTGAAATAATTCAGAAAACAGTTTTATAAAACAGTCAGTGTTCAAATGTACTTTCTCTTATCGTTGTTAGTATTTCACTTGTCATGATGACAGGTGAGGCACTGCCTCACCTGCCTGCCCTGACTGCACGTCAATGAATAACATTGCTGTGGAAATGTGCTGCATATTCACAGTAGCTTATGCATGAAGGATAGTGAGAGTACAAGCTAGCACCTTAAGAATGCAGAAATACCTTTGAAAAAAGTCTCTACGACATGGGAAAAAAAATACTATTTGTGAATACTAAAAACATTACAGTGTTGTGATACTTTGTACTTTCACAACTACTTTTTTTTAAATTACTTATGTAGTTTGGAAAGAGTGTAGTGGGCTGTCATGTGCGTGATGACCCTAATAAAAACATTTTACCACAAAAATGTGTTTCAGAAAATCAGTTTTATTATGAACTAGATACATTTTTGTTCACTTATTCATTTAATGGCACAAAACTTAGAGCCAATGTTGAAATCATGCATACTGATTACTTTGCACAAGTAACCACAGAAGGTAACCGTTAGTAAGATGGCTATTCCCTGGCACTATAAAACTTTAATAGACTCTAAGATTTACAGCACACCACGTGCACAGAACTTACAGAACTTTTAACATTGTCTATCTTGAACAAATTGCTTTGGAATGTGTTCACTGGAAACATGCTGGCACAGCTGTCCTCAGGCAGAACTTGGGGTTCTTGTCTTGCGTTTAACAGTTTTGGATCTTGGGAATGAGTTACCAACTATACAATTTCATAAAATATTTAAATCTATTAGTGGACTTTTGAGTTTTAATGGAATGTCTTTTAAATTTCCCTCACATTATTTATACCTTTGCGCATGAATTCAGTTCACAGAGATGACACAGCAATGACAAAAGTAGTGCAAAGTGCTGATAAAAGTAATAGGAAACAGTGAAATAAATGTTGTATGCATTTACATAATGAATATGAATATATATTACAAATATTTTATACATTAAAGAAAATACCATAAGTAACTAAAGCAAGTAGCCAGATTCATGCTCAATAGTTCAATTCAATTCAGTTTATTTATGTAGCGCCAAATCACAACAAAGTTGTCTCAGGGCACTTTACAGAAACATTCACAAACATAAAAGCCAATTAGTAAAGTTCTCTATCTAAGGAATCCAGCAGACAAGTCAAATCTTGTCTTCGTTGCAGTCTCCCATCCTGAGCAAGCACAGTGGCAACAGTGGAAAGGAAAAACTCCCTTTTAAAGGAAGAAACCTCCAGCAGAACCAGGCTCAGGACAAGTGGCCATCTGCTTTGACCGGCTGGTTGAGAGGACAGGAAGGAGAGACAGACGAACACAGAATGGTAGGTCCAGGTATAGGTCCAGGTGTATCTGAAAGACAAAAAAAAAAAAAGTTAGGATAGCAAAAATAATTAGAAATAGTAGCATAGTGAAGAAATATGGTCAGTTTGTCCTCCAGCAGTCTAAGCCTATAGCAGCATAACTAAGGGACAGCTCAGGAAACCCAAGCCAACACTAACTATAGGATTTAGCAAAATGGAAAGTCTTAAGCCTAGTTTTAAAACTGGATAATGTGTCAGCCTCACGGACAGAGATTGGAAGTTGGTTCCACAAGAGAGGAGCCTGATAACTGAAAGATCTGACTCCCATTCTGTTTTAGGAAACTCTAGGAACCTTAATTAAACCTGCAGTCTGAGAGTAAGTGCTCTGTTAGGAAAATATGGAACAATAAGATCTGTAATATAAGATGGAGCCAGGTGGTTGAGAGCTTTGTAGGTTAGAAGTAAGTTTTTGAATTCTATTCTGGACTTGACGGGGAGCCAATGGAGAGAAACTAAAACTGGAGAGATATGATCTCTCCTACTAACTCCGGTTAAGACTCTGGCAGCAGCATTTTGGATTAACTGAAGACGTTTTAAAGAAGTATTTGGACATCCATATATTAAACCATTGCAATAGTCCAGTCTAGACGTGACAAATGCATGGACCTGTTTTTCTGCATCATTTTAGATAAGATGTTTCTAATTTTAGTGATATTACGCAGGTGGAAGAAGGCAGTTCTAGTAACGTTTTTAATGTGTGGGATAAAAGACATGTCCTGATCAAAAATAACACCAAGATTTTTAACATTAGAGCTGGAGGACAGATTAATGCCATCTAAGGAGGGAGAAAGACTAAAAAACTCATTCCTAAGGTGCTCAGGTCCAGAAACCACAACCTCTGTCTTGTCTGAGTTTAAAAGCATAAAGTTAAGGGTCATCCAGGTTTTTATGTTTTTAAAACATGAGTGTAGTCTAAGTAGCTGATTGGATTAATTGGGTTTCATGGACAAATATAATTGTGTGTCATCAGCATAACAATGAAAATTCTTCTCATGCTGTTTAATAATTAATTATTAACTAATAATCCAGGTAGAAAATCCAACCAAGTAAAGTCAGGTCCTCTGGACAGTTTGTTTGTGTTGAAATATTTCATCTTTCATCCAAAAGACTTCATCAGTCCGAGGAGCCACAACAAACTCAGTTTTATAAATAACATCTTCACATAGTGGGGCAAGTTTGATGGTGCTCTGATGGGTTCTGGAGTCCGCCCTCTCCCCTGCTGACTCGTAGGAGGCAGCCATGGTCAGAATGGTTCAAAATATCCAGATTCATACACAAAACAAGTAGCATTCCATAAAAGAGTGCACATCACCCACTGCCTTACATGCAAAAGTTGTCAACAAAGTTCTCATGTGATCTGTTAGAGCTCAGAATATGTGTTGGGAATGACTTTCACCTTCTACCACACCAGGTTTCACCTCAGTATCTGTAAAAATGACTGAGTGTTAACCATTTTTGGGGTTTGTTAAGGTCAGTCAGGTTGAATCCAAATGGTAAGGAGTTATAGATGTACATCCAATGGTTACTTTCTGAGAGTTTTACTGAGTCCATCCTGGGATTTACAAGATATTTTACTAAAATATTGTCAAATGAACTTACACTCACACAAAGACAAATCCCAGATCCCCATCCTTTCAAGAGAGCAAGTAATAATTAGTGTACAAGTATACACAAGAAAGGGATGAAGCATAAAGTATGAGTGAAATCAGTAGAAGTAGATGTGACAGTGTTGTCTCCTTTCTCTGTCTCCAGGGGAAAAGCCATACAAATGCACCTGGGACGGTTGCACCTGGAAGTTCGCCCGCTCCGATGAACTGACGAGGCATTACAGAAAACACACGGGCGTGAAGCCCTTCAAATGTGGAGACTGTGACCGCAGCTTCTCCAGATCCGACCACTTGGCCCTGCACCGACGGAGACACATGCTGGTGTGAATCAGAACAAGAGTGCATCAGAGAGGTCCATGGAACAGCACACACCGACACACACCCACACACACACAGGCAGCCAAGGGAGCAGGATCTCCTTCTGAATGTTGTTCAGCTGGCCTGGATGCCCACACATGCACACTCATGCACTCACACACACACACACACACACACACACTGATCCTCATCCTTCACAAGGTGAGGAGACAGAGGGACGGAGGTGCACAGAGCTTGCGGAGCACAAAAACAGGGTCACTTCTGGATCTTCTTTGGATTGGAAGGAAGAAATGGCAGGATCTTTGAACGCCAGTGGATTATAATAAGGAACTGTGTTTAACAGCATTGTTGGTTAATGTTTCCCTTTGATTTTTAAGATGAAGTCTCACTCTTTATATGAACAATCCACACGCACACAAAACACCCACCCAGACACACAACGCACGCGTATGTGTTTGTGTGTTTCCATCCATCTTTTCAGTACTCTTCAAACAGCTGCTTTTCCAGCATTCATAATGTGAAAGACCCCACTGACAACCAGAGCAGGAAGTTACACCTGGTGTTGTTACAGGAAAAGACTTGGTTCAATTACAGACAGTATTGTTCTGCTTTGCCTCCCTGTGAAGTTAAACTATGCCCAGCAGAGGGCGCTGTTTCTTTACTAATGTTTTTTTTAATATGGTCAGATCTGAGGTTTCCTAAACTTTTCCTTAGCCAGCAAAGTGTGAACCACATCAACTCAAACCTGAAAGGATCAACTTTGTCTGCACATTTGATCTGCCATCTGTCAACTGCTTCATTTCAAATAATGAAAACTGGACTCACGCTTCACCACACCAGCAACATTTTTTTTTTAAACGTACAAAAAAAACGTTACTTTACACCAAGGACACTGGAAAAGCCCATTTCTCATCAGTGCTATTCTTTATGTTGAGCCTCTTGAAATAATTTTCATTAAAAACAAAAAGTTATTTTGTGGATTTTGAGCTGTGATTAGCAATCAGTAAAGTGCAATCTTAAATGATATATATGATATATATATATATATATACTTTCGGTTTGAAAATGTTTTGTTTTATTGAATCTTGCTTTTTTTTTATGCCTGCTTATTGCTCATGTTTGAAAAATACAACCCCTCATGTACAGTGAACCTTGAAACAATCAGAAGAGATGTCCGGTATGTGACAAAAAATATTATTAATAATAAAAACAAAACAACAGAGGCACCTTAGAGACTTCCATTCTGTCCCTACCTATTAGTCCATATCAGTCCACTCAGATGTTCTGCTTTGGTTTAGACATAAAGGAAGTTACATGTTTTTTGAAGCACAACCATTAGCTGACACTGATGCCAGGTGAAGGTGGTACAAAGATACTCAGTGTGCAGAAGAGCAATACATTTGAGCAAAGTGACAAGAAGGAACCTCCTCTTTGTTGATGTCAAAATTAGATAAAGAGCTTCTAGGTCAGCCTTGCTCCGTTTCCTTACACCTTTCATCTGCTCTGTTGCTCCCAGTCAAACTCTGGTGTCTCAGCTGGTGATTAATTCCATTCAAAATTATGTTTTAGTTTTACTTTTCAAAATCAAAGGGTCTCTTGAAACTTTCTCAGCTCAGTTTAGAGCAGGGGTCTGCAACCTGCGGCTCTGGAGCCACATGCGGCTCTTTGGTTCCTCCGCAGCGGCTCTTTCAAGCTTTGACCAAAACTGACATAAAACTGAAATTTATTGGTTGTTGTACAAACAACAAAAAAACAACTAGCTTTAGCTGTTTTCCTGTCATTTCTTTTGCAACTATGTGAATACTGGAACATGTACAAGAAGTACAGTAGTCCCTCCCTACTTTGTGGTTTGCTTATCGTGGACTCGCTCTATTGCGGTTTTCCAAAATAAGATTGGACATGACACACAACTGGCTGATTGATTGATAAGCCACACGATTGGCATGGATTTTTTAAATTTAAAATAAATTATTTTAAATTATTTAGCACCTGCTGCACCTTTCTGCAGCCCACACTGCAGGATAAACATCATGCTGCAGCTGATCAGCTGTGCATACAGAGCAGAGAAGTGGGCGTGTCCAAGAACGCTTGCAGGTGGCTGAGAGCAGAGGAGGCAGGGAGCTGAGGTCATGACATTCTGTGCTCTTTTAGAGCGTTTAGAGTTCAGAAACATTGTTTAGAATATTGCATGAGTGTGAGAAGGGTTTAAATGTCTTTATATAT